GTGGTATATTATGGCAAAATTTGAGGCTAAAAAAGAGAGAGTTCAGTCATTATTCATTAAGTTATACACATATCCTTCACTCTCCAAATCTGTTTGGTTCCTGGGTTCACATGGAAATGCCAAAGAATAAGTTCAGAAAAGTGAAAGAAAGCATTTTTTCTGAATCTGCTGGATTCCTGAGGTTCTGATTGAAAATACAGATTGTTGAGATAACAAGGGCATACCAGCCTTATCTTGGAAAAAATTATCCAAATCTGTTTAGTTCCTGACTTTAAGAGAGTTCATGGCAGAGAATACCAGCGTTAGATTGTCTAGCTGCCTGGAAAGCATGGTGAAGTAATTGTCTAATGTTTTTATATTAACCCTCCTCCTCCCTTCCGTTAGTATTCAATATTTACTTAATTAACTGAGCTCTGCAACCTCAGACTCGCCTGTTCCATGGTGTGCTGAAGTTTCCCTTTGAAGCTTTTGAGATAGCAGCTCATTCCCTGTTCTTCATACAGCGGGTGCATCTGAGACTGTCGAACATGTGATGAAGCGTGTTGCTAGACATTGTCAAGAGTTGACTTGAAATGTTTGTATTTAGTTTATTCTCAATGTCCAAATGTACCCTAGGAGAGAAGAGTGCAGAAGTGTCCTACAGTTTTTAAATTCTGCCTTTGGTTTGGGAACTGCTGGCTAACTTTTGTATTTTCTCCCTCTCCCCCTTCCCCGGATACCAGCCTGGTTGGGAAGAAAGAATCCACTTGGACGGCCGAACGTTTTATATCGATCATAGTAAGTAGGCACCGTTCCGGACACATCAGTATTGCCGGTGGCGGGGGAGGGTAATCCAGATATTATAGTGAAAGCTTTGTCGTTCTACTCTTCGTCTAGGCAGCCAGGTGTTATGTGGCGAGAACGATACCAGAGACGCAGTGCCCTCCTACGGTACTGTGCGTTCACCCCACGTTTGCTTGAAAGTAGACCCTCAAGCTTTCACCCGATTTGATCTTGTGACCTATTAACTTTTATTTTTTTTTTAATTAAAAAAACTTTTTTGGTTGATGATCCCTTGACTTTCGCGCTTTTAATAAATACACTCTGGTAATAGAAAATAAGATTAGAAGTGATGATTTAGTCAAAAATGTGTGTGTGAACAGTCCGTGAAGCGGCACAGACGTGTTTTAGAACAGAGGTCCTGTGGCAAGGTGTCCGCTCTGACCTTATTTTCTATTCGTGCGTGGCATGTTTCCTTGCACCCACCACACTAATACATAGGTAGTTCTTTTCTTGAAGCTGTAGCATATTTGCTGTAGACATTTGCTCCAGCACCTATGAATATATGTGTGGTTTCTCATCTCAACTAAAAAGTTAAACTAATAAAGGTTTGCTTTTAGCCGGTGGTGGGGGAGGGATGGGTATTTTCTTTTTTCTTTTTTCTTTTTTTTTTTTGGTCCTTCTTTTTTGAGGTGACATGTTCTTCATAGAATCATGTTTATATATCCCTTAAAACTTCTGAAAAAGAATATTAAAAAGAAGGCCGTAAATCAACGTAAAGTTTGAATCATGCATGCAATTTGGTAGAATTTTGGTCTTTGTTTTCATTTGGCTCATAAATAGGAAGTCCTTGCCAGCTTTCCCCAGCTTCATGTTTTTGTCACTAAACAAAATTACGCTGACAAGCCACTTGCTGAGAAGTCTGGCCACGAGGAATCCTCCTACATACAGGACTGGTCACTGTCTCACAAGCACAGTACCTCTTCCAGATGTGACAAGGGGCTGAGTGCATCGTAGATGCGACTTCACTTTCAGGCACAAGGGTTTGAGGGGTTATTACAAATTGGAATGAAGCAAGAGGGCCAGCAGTTCAGAATTAAACCAAAAGTCGAAGTCCTGGGTGTGTTTAGAGGGGTGGGCTACCCTTCGTTTAAATCAGATATTTCAAGATACATAGGCTTAGCTTTTGTCTTTGATTAGGAAAAATACCAACTTGCCTACTTCCCAGAATTGTACAGTGAGTGTAAAATTGCTGCCGTAAGTGCTTTAATATATGTGCATACCCCACTTTTCCCTTAATGCGCTCCTTAGTTATAATTCTACTCTTCAGAGAAGTCACTAAAATAGGAGAGAGGTTATACCCCTTTTTCTCACTCAAAACAAAAAAAAAAACAGTTTGCTTTTTAGTTTTTTGTGCATTACAATTTCAGTTTTCAAAGACAAGTATGAACAATACTGATCATTTTACTAAAACACGGTCTTTCCTAGTAATACAGTCTTGGTCTGTGACACAGAGCATTCACACAACATGGTGACGGTGTTCTGGCTGGGGTCTGATGCCTAGCTCAACCTGAAAAGAATGTTGTGAATGCTCTTAGTGTACGACAAGGAGCCAAAAACAGGAAGACACGAGTGCAAGGGGCCGTCCTAGCGTACACTAGAAATAGTGAAAATCTATTTCCCTAGTGATGTGCGCAGAGACCTAGTATAACATATAGTAGATGCTTGATAAATGGTCACTTGAAGTCTGGTTCATGGAGGGTCAGTGGGGAAGGTCTCAGGCAGTCGCTGTCCTTGATCACAAAGTGGAGGGGACTTGCTTAAGGGGCAACAGCCCCGGCCGCAGCCTGGCCCAGCTCCTGTTCACAGGGAGGCGGAAGAGGGTAGCTACTTGCTGGATACCTGGGTTCTTCATGACTCCCGGTCAGTTTGCGGGTTACTCCAGCGCACTTCTCAGACGTTTTCCTCATTCCTCTGCCCAGAACAGCACCTGGGAGGTTCCTCCCTGCTCCTGGGGATGGAATGATCTGCTGTAGACTCTGTGCAGAGCCTGGTTGGGCTGAGCTGCACCAGTGTGATATTTGTGACCATTTGCTTGGAGATTAAAATCTATTTTGCCTTTGCACAACCATACTGAAACATTCTCTTAAACAGAGATAGTGTAAATTAGGCAACCAAAAACTGTTTAAGAATAAGATCTGTTTATGAGAACCCCATTAGCTGTTAATGCTACATTTCTGCCTGTTCTCCATAATTTGTCAAGATTTACTCAATGGAAAGCAATAGAGAGGTACACATCAGTGAAACAGTTCAGTTCGTTTGCCTTTCTGCCAAAATTTGGTCTTTGAAAACCACAGAATACCTGTCTCTTTGAACAGGCTTTGTCAGGCCGACACTCCAAAATGGATAAACGATAAATAATGATAAATAATGTTTAGGAACTGTCTTACTGTCAGAATGAAACCTCACTTTCTAAACAGTTTTCTAGCAAAATTCGGCATCTAATTTTGCTATCATAATGCCTACCTAGGCCATTTTACTGTGAAAGCAATCATCTTGTAAGTTGTTGAGAGTCATCCTGTCTTCCAACATAGCTGAGATATGTGACTACACATTGAATTACGGATAAGAATGCCCTTGTCTTTTAAATAATTAGGTTATGTAATTATTTTCGACTTCATAAATTCTTCTTGAGAAGTTAGACATTTTCAAGATTAACAATATTCAACCATCTTAAAGATTTAATTTCAAAAGCAATGAGTGCTCAGTACTAACCTTTTCTGTTTAGATTCCTTCATTCGTTCGGTTGATTGATAGTTATTGAATAGCTTCTGTGTCTCAGGCCTGGTGTAGGAGGTTAAGGGAAGATCTTGAACTGTATCTCTCTTGCTCCTAGGAATGATGTCATTCTTCTTAAAGACCAGGTATGCCTGGCAGCTGAGTAATTGGCCACAGGGATCTTATATACAAAGTTAAAAGAAAATACGCTTCCAGTTACTCTGTAAAACCCTATTTTAGTCTTTCCTGCCAACAGTCTTACCAGACCTGTTAATAGTGGCTAAACTGACTGAGTTTCTCATCCTCCTTCTTCCTTCTTGTCCTTTTATTTGAAATATGATGGCTCAAAAAGGAAAAGCAAGTTTAGACTCAAATTCTAAAAAAGAATGGATAACTGGCTACCATGAATCGACAATACTTAGCTGCAAAATTGATCTTTGTGGTAACCGTGTGGAAACTTGTTTGGTTTTGAATGCTTAGACTCTTATAAAGGGACTTTGTGTTCACCATCAGCTTCATTCAGTCATTTTAAAGAATAATGTTTTAAGCTCCTGCTTCATGCTGGGACTCACAGGCAATGGTGGAGAGGGAGAGGGTGGCAGAGATGAATAGCAATCCCTGTCCTCAAGGGGCTCGTGTCTAGTAGGTGGTATCAGGAGGTCTTTCAGGGTTCTGTATTTTGAGGGCTGAGCCAGGTGTTACGTAGAAGCAGAAGAGGCAGGGACTGCACTTGCTCTGGACGTGGGTTGGGTACAGGGGACGAGGGATGCCACAAAAGAGCCTGTCAGAGTGGGTTACCTTTCGGATGGATGTCAGCGATGAGTAGCACTGAGCCGGGCAAGCACAGTGAAGAGTGATTCCAGGAGGGGTGACGTGCGGAGGTGTGCGCATATCTGCAGATCATGCCACGTTCAGAGAAACGCAGCACTGCTCCAATGGCTGGTGTGCAGCAGAGGCCGGCATGGCACACGGGCCAAGCCAAAGGGTGTCTGCCAGGCGTGGGGACTGGAGTTGATTCTGCAGGCAGCTGGGAGCTCCTGAGGGATTTTCCATAGGGAAGCAACAGGGGTCAAATTTGTTCTTAAGAAAAATCCTTTTGCCAGAACCGTAGAGGAAGTTTTGAACAAGGTGAACTGTGGCCAGGGAAGCTTAGAGGGAATAGTCCAAGAAAAAGATGAGCACCTTGGCAAGAAGCCTTATCAGGGAGAGAGATGGGGACGGTTCAGGACGTGGCCCTGTTCCTGATTTGGAACTGAATTGATTGTAATATTATTAACCGGGGAGGACATGGGGTCACATGGATAGGTTTTGGTGTTGGGTGATGATGGCTTCTATTTCAGTAGCGTAGAGCTGGGGTGCCTATGGGAAATCCAGGTGCAGATGTCAAGGATGGAGCTTGACATTCAGGTGTGGTCTGAAGATTCGGGAGTCCTCTTGAGTCAAGAGTAGTTAATTTATTTTCTGCTTTGTCGACAACATCCAGCTGATAAAGTGATAATCCAAGTTGGTATTTTAAGGCACAGTTTCCATTCAGCTGTATTCCATTCCCTTTATTTGGTTTTCTTTTCTCTTGTTTTCCATCACAATAGCAACTTTTACTTTCCAAAGTCTTCTGTTTTCAAGACAAGGGGCCCCAAAATGGCCTTTTCCCTCCATCAAGGTTCTCTCAATACTTGAGACTTTTCTTGTAAATTTTCTGCCAACATGGAAACAAAATAAGGATTCTAGAATCATCATGTGCTTTGATAGCTTTTTTTTTTCACTTTTTCTCTGCTTTCATTAAAATAATATCAGACTTTTAAAAATTCCTGGTATGGTCATTAAAACTGAATTCATAAGTTATCAGCCCACTTGCAGAATACAGAAATAAACAGAATCAATATTCACTACTTTTCAAACAATCTTTTTTTAAACGAATTTAGATTTTCTAAAACTCCAGAGAGCCCATTCTCCCCCGTCTGCCCCCTCCATATCTTTCATGTGAGTCCATCCCAACGCCCAGGTATCCATTAAGTCATCTTCATTATGCACAGGTACAAATCCCAAGGGACTCAGGGCAGCTATTGTGTGTGGGTGTGGGTAGCATTGAACAGTCTTGTTCACGTTGACTCATTTGGGAGAAAGAAAACTACCTCTTGCCAACTTGGCTAAAGGGAACCTATTCTCTGGAATCTTCTCTGCTGTATCTAATTCTCGTTTCTTGGACTGCCTTTAGCTGCTTTGATTATTGTGTGTGTGTGAGTGACGCATGTGATGGATTATTCATTTGTTCAGAGTAGGATTCTTAATTGAAAGCAGTTTTTCAATACCGTAAGCAAATAAAGTATTTGAAATGAGAAAAAAATCGTGTGTGTGTGTGTGTATATTAGCCTTTTGGGGAATTAAGACTTTTATGCCTTTTTTCAATGAAATGAAAATTAAGATCAAATTATAAATCTTTGAAAGAACAGGAGTTTGTAATTGAAATTTGGACAAATTGCTTGCCAGAAACAGTGTGGATGGTTTTACTTCAGTCGTGCATTTTTGGTTCAGTGTTTTTAACTAAACAGTGCAAGGGGAATATGCCATACTAGACCATAGTTACCTTCTAACTCTGAAATAACTGAGTTATCTTTTGGGGGCGGTAATGGACAGCTTTTGAAGAATCCAGAAATACTTCTTTCTAAAACATTGTTTACATAGATTTGAACTAATGTGCTAATTTTTTTTTTTTTTTTTAACATTTTCAGATAGCAAAATTACTCAATGGGAAGACCCAAGACTGCAGAACCCAGCTATTACTGGTCCGGTCAGTATTCTCAAGTTCTGACTGTTTAGTATAAGATTTTGGTTGCCTCTAAACATGCATTTCTTGTGTGTTACCGGTAACTGATGCCAAGGGACTGGTGTTATTGAGTATTTAAACTTTACTCCCATCTTCTCCTTACGGAAGCTTCCAGGTGAGGTACAGCTGCGTGTGCCTTTTGGGAGGGCTTTCATTACAAAGGAAAAGAAACTGGTTTGATAATGATGGCAGAATTAAACATTTTTTCCTTCTGCATTGTAAAAGACTAGATTAAAAGTATAATCAAAATTTCCTCCCTTCTTTTTTGTACGAAGCAAAACCAAGCCCCATATTTGCAGAGTTTTGTCATATCTTTAGGCCAGGGATGGTAAATGCATGCTCATAAATTTAAATCTTTTCCAGCTTTAGAAATCTATAGACATTTGGGTGAGGTTGGAGGTAACTTTGGGAGCTGGCAGAGTTCAGAATCTCTCCCTCTGCTGACCCACTAACTTTCTCACAGTCCCCCTCACATGTGCTGGGTGGAAAAAGAATCAGTTCTGACATGTCAGCATAGTGACCTCCTAAAAGACTGCAGCACGCTGTGTTCGTAAGAAGTGGGACTCCCGCTGTCCCGTAGCAGCAGCAGACACTTGGTGTCATAAAACCTGGGGATGTGTCTTCAGGATGAGCCCACGTCCCTGAGGGTGTGCACACCAGCAGCTGCTGTCAGTGGTTGTACCAGTGCAAGGAGGTAATTTGGAATTACAGGAAATGCAATGGCATTAGCAAAAGATTGCAGATTGGGGCTTCTTTTAAAAAACTAGAGGAGCAACAGGAACTAACGTTGGTTGTATAACATACTGAGCTAAGAAAGCCAATAGGTATAAAGTACCAATTTCATGGCTTTAATCTGATTCCATTCAGATTATGATTTGAATTAAGATATGTTCATTTGAAAACTTAAAAAATATTAACATTGCAAATGTGCATTGATAACTAACACTCCTTTTGTTGCTTCTTGGATTTGTTCGTGAAATTTATTCAGCCACTTTGGTGGTTTCCTAGGCAAAGTAATACCTGGCTTAAAATAGTTAACTACTTTTTCCTTTATGTAGCCTTAGAAAACACTGCCTTACTGTAATATGATGGCTCCTTTTGTTGTATATATTCATAGTCACAGTTGGTTGTTAGAGTAGTATTTTCCCTTCTAGATCATTAGGAATAAGGTAAATTCCAGAAACCATGCTGTTTTCAAATGGCAGAAGACTTTTGAAGCCTTTTCAAATATTTCTGTCATGTATCAGTTACCTTTGCTCAAACACTGCCAGTTTTTATTAATTATTGCTTAAAATTGTTTAGCATCATAAATCCAGGTAGATTTATCGCCAAGAAATATGTATTTTTTTCTGTTTTCTATTAATGAAAGAGCCTTATTTGCTCTTTTATTATCATTATTAATGACATTGCTTTCAATAGGAGTGTGTATATTTAGGTAATTATCAACTTAGTGTAGACATTTGGCCTTTATTATCAAAATGTCTAAATATTTGGCAATTTTCATGTGATTTTCGTCCTTAATTTATAAATTCAAATGTGCTTTTTTAGTTTCTGAGAGTATGAAGGGGTTTTTGCCTATCATTTCTTACTGATTTTTAATTTTTTTGCATTGTGGTCAGAGAAGATTATCTACACAATATTTATTATTAGATGAATCTTTCTTGGAGTCTTGGTCATTTCTTGTAAATTTTTTGCATGTGTTTTAAAAGAATGTGTATCATGTCTTTGGTTGGATACAGAGTTCTTGATCTGTCCATGAGGTCAAGCTGGTAGTGTTCCAGTTATCTATATTCTCATTACTGTTTTTTCTGACTATTTGATCTAATCAAGAGAGTTGTGTCCAAGTGTCCATGGTCACTATTGCTCTGTCAGTCTTGTCTGAGATGGATACAACTACATTCGCTGTCTTTCTTCATTAGTGTTTGTCTAGTATATCTTTTGTCTCTCTTGTGATGTTTTTTCTCCTTTCTTACGTTCTGTTAGATTGATAAAATATTCTTTGTTTTCTTCTATTCTCTCTACATGCTTGCAAGTTGTACTTTCTGTTCTTTCAGCACTCAAGTTAAATATTTTAGCCAACATACTTCAGGTTAAAATTAATCACTCTCTACTTTCCTCCAGGATAACATCAGACCACAGGGAACTTTATTGCTATTCTTCCCACTCCCATTTTCCATGTCACTCTTGGGCAGAATTTTAAAACTACCTTGCCTTTAAACTTTCCAAACAGTCATCAATAATTTATCTTTTTTCCCCAACAGTCAATGCTGATTTAATTTTACCTATATGTAAATAAATTTCTTTGCCCACCGTTGATTCTTTTATCCATTTTTTTTTTCCGGGTTTTTTTTTCTGACTGGAGTGTAGCACTGTTTCTCAATGTGTGTTCTGATGACCAGCAGTGTCAGTATCATCTAAGAACTTGTTAGAAATACGAGTTTTCAGGTCCTGTCCCAGACCTGCTGAATCCACAACTCTGGGGGTGAGTACAACAGTCTTTGTTTTAACAAGCCCTCCAGGGATCCGCTGCCTCCTCAGGTGTGGGTACCTCTGCTCGGCAGCACTTAGAGTAAATCTGAGAGTGGTGACCACATCTCTTACTTAGTCTTTGAAGTTCAGCTGATTATAGAATTCTCAGTTAACTTATTTTCCTTCAGTAGTGGAGATATTCTTACCTGTCTTCTGGCCTTCATAACTGACGAGGAAAAGTTTGCTGTCAGTCTAATTGTCGTTTCTGTGTAGGTGAATTTTTCTTTTCTGTGGTGATTTTGAATTTTTACCTGTGTCTTAGATGTTCTGCAATTTCACTATCGTGTATCTGTGTGTGGCTTTCTCTTTATTCTGCTTTGGACTTACGATTCTTTAATACGAAGATCATGTCTTCCCTCTGTTCTATAAAATTCTCAGCTGTTATTTCATCACATATTGCATTTTTCTCTGATTATCTGTTTCTGTAACTCCCATTGGGTACTTGGTTCACTTTGACGCTGTCTTCCTTGTCTCTTAACTTTCATATTCTCTTTCTCTCTCATTACTGTTATTGTGAGTTATTACTCAGCTCTTCTAGTTCTTTCTTGAGCTTTTTTATAATCTCTTTATCAGTTCATTGTCTTTATTATTTCAGTGACTGCGTTTAATTCCTCAAAGTTCTAATTGGTCTTTTAAAATGTGTGTTGTCCTTATAGTTATTCTGTCCTATTCTTTTCTTTTCTTTTTTTTTAATTCCCTCATCTCTTCAGCATTTTTTAAATACTTATTTCTTAGCCTCTTTCAGATTATTCTATTATCTCTGGGCCTAGGAATGTTAAATCTCCCACTTGTTACGTCTGTAGACTCTCCTTAATTGTGGTGTATTGCCTAGTTCAGTTTATAATTTGTGTAAGTGTGTGCATGCACACAAGGGAGAGAGTGAGCATGCACACACATCTTTGTTTTTTTTCTACGGGGCTTTTCTAAGTCCTGACCTGTATTTACTATTAACTTCTTGGCTTGGATTCATGCACTTCCAATTAGCATAACTGTGGACCTCATACTCACTTTGGTAGAGGCTTGGAGTATGGATTTATTACAGGTCTGTTTCTTTTTGTTTTTCTTCCATTTATGGTCCTGGACAGAAGGTAAGCCTTCTTGCAACTTCCCTGAGCCGGTGGGTAGAATTTTCTTGTCCCCTTTTCAGATGTTAGGTTTTAAGCAGGGTACTCTGTTCTTTCTAGGTCATATAGACAGAAGGCCACGTTTTGTGTCCTCATGGGAGGATTAAAACACAAGCTCAAGCACCTGTGTGTCTAAGACCAGCGCCCACTTAATTATCTAATTTTGAGTTTTTTATTTGGTACCTAGAGTTTCTCTTTTTCCCAAGTTTTAAAAATATTCTAAGTTGGTCTGGCATGTCCACCTATTTTTAGGTAGAGGGGACCTTTTTCTGGTAGCTCAGCTTGCAGCATTCTTTTAAGTCTCTCTATATAACAGATACCAGCATTAATAGCATTTATTAAGTGCTGTCCAGGCACACTGCTGGTAATGAACCTAGTACTATCTTATGTTTGTGTAACACTTTTACTTTTTCAAGAACTTTATAATCGTGTGATTTGATACCACAGCAGTCCCCTCAGGAAGATAGGGCAGATGTTAGTACCAGCTTCTCAGAAGCTCAGGAAGGTAATTGTGTTGCCAGCAGTCCCTGCAAGCATCAGAATCAGAACGGGAGCCCCGCATGTGCTGGCATCGCCAGTGTCCTCACGTTGGGCGTGAGCCCTTCTGTCCACGGAGCTCCGGTATCATCGGGACAATGATGACACTTAGGCCCAACTTGCACAATGAGGCAGGTTGACATTCTAGACAAAAAGGAGCTCATTTAATACAGAGCAAAAGGCTTTCATCAACAGACATGTTAATTTTTCAGATAGGCTTATTTTACAAGTTAAACTGTATGTGAGAAAATGAGATGCCAGGCAGTTTGGACTGTCCAATCCAATAAATATACATGTAATTCTCTTCAGAAGCTGCATTGTAGGGATGTGTGTGTCCTGGTACGTTGTTGGAATCTTTTCAGGAAAATGTACAAACGTACTCTGCTCCTTCTATTGTGAGAACTACCTCTAGACAGAAACGATAAGTATAGGAGGACGGTAATGACTTTTCAGTATTCATGCATCATTCCACAGAAGAAAGACCAGAAATACCTCGGCATCTGATTCCCACCCACACCTACTCAGCACCTGCCGGTTACGAGGCAGGCAAGAGAATGGATGTCACAGGCGGGGGCAACGTTTTGAAATCTCTTCCTTGGAGAATGTGTCATTTAAGACGATTGAACTTACATATACTGTTGAATGTTTAAGCTTTTTTCCCTACCATTTTCAGTGGGGGACAAAAGAAAAAATAATTGCTGGGAGTCACAGGCTTTTGGAAATGGGAGACCCTAGTCAGATTTATTCATCCCATCAAATCCTACTTAACTGAAGAAATTCCTTACCGGAGACCACGCGTTGCAGAATGGGCTGGCTGTAGAATCTGCCCTAGGATTCGGGTCTTGTAAAGCTGGCGGGAGAGAATGGAAGGAGGTCATTTCTTCAGTTTAATTCCCTCCATCACAGTTAGACCTACAGCATCAGCAAAACGCTTTCCCTCCTCGGGACGTAGCACCCTGTTCCTGCCGTGGTCTGTCCCTTCCCCTCACTCTGGTTTCTGCTCCAGTGTCCCCTCCTTAGAGCCACCTTCCCTGGCCAGCTCCTCTGAAATAACCCCACAGGAGCTGTGTCATTGTTTTCCTCATTTATCTCTCATTTCCTATTGCTCCCAACAGCTTGTAAGCTCCAGGAGGGAACTGGGAAAGAAACTTTTGCTTTTTAGCTACCATTATGTCCCCAGCACTCAAAATGCCTTGCACAGAGTAGGTGCTCAAGAAATACCTGTTGAATGAATCAGCGAATGAACGCTAAAGAGTGAGAAATAAACAAATTTGAGGGGAAACCCTAGTTTGTGATGGGATGTAGTATTGGTAGACCAAAAAAAAAATCTGTATTAGCTTATATCAGAATAATGTATTCTTTTCCATATTTTGGTGATTGTCCTGATATTGACAAAGTTTGTGCATTGCCAAGAATCAGAAAGGGGTGGGGAACCTGCAGCCTTGGGGGCCACACGTGGCCTTCTAGATCCTTGAGTGTGGCCTTTTGACTGAATCCAAATTTTGCAGAACAAATCGTTTTATTGAAAGGGACACAGCAGAGAAAGATGAAGCTTTTCTTGCCTCCTTTCGTGCTCAGAAAAGAACACTCTTGAAATCAAAAGGCCACAGATTCACCACCCCACTGTCCAAAATAAATAGGATATGTGGTCAGATCAGTGTTGAGTGGAAAGTCAAATGAAGACTGGTTTGAAACCTAAGAACAGACCATAGGCAGTATGAATTTTCTTTAGAATGTTCTTAAGATATATAAAGATGATGTCTTTATTGCTCTCAAATTACAAAGCAAAACACTGACACGATTTTCTGTTAAGAGTGGTTGCTTGTTTTGTTTTCAGTTATTTGTGTAATCATGTCTTAAAACAGTATGAAGAATGGAAGCTTTTTGTTCGTTTCTTCTCTTTCTGTCAAGAATAAACGTGATAAAAGGTATAAGGTTTGGAGTCTGGAGACATTTTACTAAGGATCAGTATATTTTATTCGTCCAAAATGATATCAGAAGAAGTATTATCTGCCAGCATTCATACTGTTTGCTAAAAAGCAGTGAGTTGCTCTGAGTATGAGACTGTCACAGTTAGGTCTGTGTGTGTGCAGAAATCAATCCTTTTGCTTCATAAAAAATAAAAAATTGTAAGCCTTTTCCATAGCCTAAACTCTGACTCTGACTCTAAGATATTATAAGCTGCTTTCCAATATAACAAATAAAGATTATTTAAGTGACTACGTTAAAATGTTATTTTTTTGCCTGAAGAGATATCAGAACTCTTCAATAATTACAGTTAACTCAGTTCCTGAGCCCACAGCTGGTTCCATCACTCTATTTTATAGATAAGGCATTTGATATTTAAAGAAATTCTTGCCAAAAATCACTAAATATTAAGGGACAAACCTTCCAAAATCTAAATTGGGGACTTTTCAAGAATGCCATCTACTTGACTTTATGCTCCTTGCTGAGAGTGTCCCTTTCTGCTCATTGTATCCCCTCACAAAGATTAGGCTTTTCAGAATGACCATTATGGGTCATTTTGGGTTGTGTGTAAAGTAAAAAGACAAGAGCTTATCTAAACTATAGCCAAAAAAATTGCACCCTGACTCATATTCTGGCTAAAGTCACATGAAAAGCACGCTTGGTTTGCACAGCATACCCTTAAATATTTCTCGAATATTAATATAGCTGTTTTCAAGGGTGAAACCTCCGTTCAATGCTGACTATCCCTGATCAGTTCTAGGGCTTCCGCATGTGCTGTGTAGACATTATGTAAATCTTCGGTGGATAATACAAAGGGTGAATTTTTAGTGTTTATGATTCATGCAATTTTCTGAATGTTGGCTCAGTATATGTAAAATTTCGAGTGTATTGTTTGCATTATCTATATTTATGAATTTATCTTCCAGGCTGTTCCTTACTCCAGAGAATTTAAGCAGAAATATGACTACTTTAGGAAGAAATTAAAGAAACCCGTGAGTAATCACATCTTCCAAAAATGTGTTTTTTAGTCATTTGCAAGTTACCAAAGTTACTTCAGTGAGAACAACTTGTTTTGTGACTTTTATATGTGTACTAAAAATATTACCTTCCTTTTCCCACTGCACTTTGATCCACCTGGATCTTCAATCTGAATTTTCTTTTTAACAGAAATGGTAAGTGAAGATTAACTCAGTATTACATATCAAATTACCTCAAGGGTAATTTCTTATGTAATACATAAAAAGACAGACATGATTTTTATGAAATGTAAAATAATTCAGGACACTAGTCAAAAAACCCGGGGAGGCCCCTGTAGTTACGTGTGGTTATCCTACTTACTGCAACCTAGACCCTAGTTAGAAAATTGTTGAAGGCTTTCCTATAAATTCAAAAGTATGGTTTTTAACCATAATATTTATGTTTCCCTATAAAGTTTATAGTATTTAGGTATAATAATTGGCAGTATTAGGTCCAAATGTAATTTTCTGAGTACAATTCTCACTGGCAATTTAAAGCTGAGACCTATAGGAGTTTTATAGTCAACGTTTTAAATCACAATGTTCTGTTTTCTGCTGACATGCCACCCTCAAATTCTTCTACATTATGCCTTTTGCTTTACTGTCTGACTCCACCTCTCTGGCGTGGGTTTTAGCAGCTTTCTCCCTGCTCAACCACTGGGGTTGTACCGCTGGGGAAAGGAGAGACCCGCCGCCGTTCGGCCTGTTCCAGTTCGCCTGTGCGCTGCCACCGGCGCTCCGTTCCCCTTCCCACAGTGGACGCATCCTTCCTGGGTGTCTTCTCTGGATCTGGCACAGTGTGTGCTCTCACTTAGGAGTTCTGTTCTCTGTTCCCAAGTCCAAATTCAAGTAGCTTGTGCGTAACCACTTTTGAAACAATTCTCTGCCTTCAAAACTGACATTTGAACACACAGAATCCTAGCGTTTATCTGTGAGTCACATCCCTTGGTAATAGGCAACGACTTTTTGTCCCAGTCTCACTCCGTGGCACTTAGACTGCCGTGTCTTCTGCCTGGAAACTGTCTCTGCAGGATCGCAAGGTCCAACCCCGGACCTCATCTTGCCTGGAGACAGTTCCCACAACCTCAGTGAAGTGTAATGTTATTTTCGTGTCAGTGAACCTTAGGGACTTTGGGGTGCTTTCCCCAAACTTGGCATGGTCAGGGTCCCACTCCCCACGGGAACAAAATTTACTTTAGGCATTGTGGATCGTATCTGCTACCTGGAGTCCCTGCCACAGTTGAGCATGGTCCCAACCTGGCCAGGTGGGGATTATTTATAGGTTTTAGTTATCTGGGCTACAGTCTCTTTCCTTGACTGAAATAGCATATAGAGTTGACTCAATTTCAGTTGCTGGTGGTGGCTGAGTACCCAAAGTTGTTTATAAAAGGGGGCGAGGATGAGTTTCTCCTCCTCGGCAGAGTTGCTGAGTCAACCTGAGCAGCTACAGGGCGATGCTGTGTGTCCCATCGTGACACAGCAAGGCTTCCTGTGTGTGCTAGGGAAACCCACAAAGGCGAGAGTCTCAATTGGAACTGTTCGTCACTGCTTGTTTATTTGAAGACTGCCATCATTTCTACCCTTTATTGATATTTTTTTTAATTAGGAAATAAGATGGATATTTATGATTATGTGCTTGTTTTTCTCTTTTGTGTAGGCTGATATTCCAAATAGGTTCGAAATGAAACTGCACAGAAATAACATATTTGAAGAGTCCTATCGGAGAATCATGTCTGTGAAAAGACCAGATGTCCTAAAAGCTAGACTGTGGATTGAATTTGAATCAGAGAAAGGTCTCGACTATGGCGGTGTGGCCAGAGAGTGGTTCTTCTTACTGTCCAAAGAGATGTTCAACCCCTACTATGGCCTCTTCGAGTACTCTGCAACGTGAGTACACAGAGCACGTCGGGGAAAGTGAAGGAATGAGTGGCGCTCTCCCTCAAAACCAAGTAGTGCTACTGAGTTCGGTCTCTCCCCTCCACCCCCCAGCCTAGAGCAGGTTCTGACTCTACAGGTGAAATAACACACTCTGTGAACCCCTCAAATTGATTCTGCTCTTGTCTGGTTCATGGAATTGACATTGAAAATGGGTTGGGTAATTATGGTAAGGAACAAAAGGCAATTTTCATTTGTAACATTACTGTAATGCAAGATGAGAATTTGTCAGTGTTAAAATTGGGAAAAAGTTCTTTTACAAACAAGGATGGTTTCTGAAGTCACACTACTTAAAAGCAAATTACGAGGACTTTGAGGACC